ATGTTAATATGAGGGAGATAGAAAATAGTTTAAAGTTCTTTACGATTGTCACAGCACTGTAAAGTTGACTCCACTTTGCCCATTACTCAACTAATTTTATCACTTAATCTAATATTTAAGAAGACTATACGGTAGCAAACAAAACATGAAATTAATCATCCACAATCACGCGTCATAGCTTGTCGAAAATAGTCGAAATCATGTGTCAATCATTAATTCTCGGTACTTTGAATTCGATCATTGGTGGCGCGTAAGAAAATATATTACCTTGCTGGTCAAAATAATATTCTATTGTTACATTGTAACAATAAAATATTATCATCATCATTATTTTGGCTTTACAACCCTGTGTGGGTCCTAGCCTCCCCAAGAATTCTCTTCCAGTCGTCCCTATCCATCGTCTTCCTCCGCCAAGCAAGTATTTCCATATTTCTCATGTCTTGGTCTATGTTATCTAGGAATCTTGTTCTGGGTCTTCCTCTTCTTCTTTGACCAATAGGTCTATCAAGGAGCGTTTTTCTAGCTGGGTCGGTTTGCTCCATCCGCATTACATGGCCTACCCACCTCAGACGTCCTATCTTAATGTGTTTTACATAAAATATTATACTCCTGATTTTAATAATAAAAATAATACATTAGATCTAGTTTATAAAATAAGTTTTCATGAATCATCTTTTACATATACAATTCTCCCCGCAATTAATTGATCCTGTGTATTCGGCATTAAACAGAAAGAAAGGCGATTATCAAGATTCAAGATTATTAATAGTGGAATTAATGAATGTTCTGACATTATGTCGAAATGTGTTTACACAGCAAGATAAGTATAAAATAGATGAATTAACAGCTGAATCAGCAGCTAAATCAACGATTTCAGCAACTACGCAACGAAGTAAATACTTTCATTTTACAAACGTCAATAAAATACTAAAAATTTTGCCAAAGGAAGAACTGAAATAAAAAGTAAAAGTTTAACTTGCATGGTATGGAACAGGAAAAATGGTGCTTCAGAAATAACGAATTGTAAATATTTTTGAAGTTCTGATTACAAAAATGTCTTCTTTTTTTAAAGTATATTATTTTTTGGAATTGATTGAATAATTTTAACTTTACCCGAAAAGCTATAGACAAAGGCACCTAGAAATCACTAGACGGACTTACAGTAAATATGATAGATCATGTTATTGTAGATTCAAGACACCAATCGAATATAATAAATGTCCGCACTAGGGGAACAGCAAATTCGGATTCTAATCACTAGTGGGTCGAAAGTACGGCAAGGTCAGAATTTTAAACATAAAAAAGGAAATAGATTCTAAACATTAACGATACAATGTATAAGAACTTAAAAATACGAACAAAAATAGGGAATATATGAATATAAACAAAATCTAAACATGAATCTAGAAAATAGACCAAAACATGAAAATATATAAGATAAACAAAGAAGAACAAGAGCGAATAACTGGTTTAACGAATGCCAGATTATAACAAAAAGAAAAACAGAGCATATAAACTGATGCAACAGGGATACAGAACGCGACAAGAAGAGGAGGAATATAAATAACTTCGAACAGAAGAAAAGACTATCTTGTAATAGACAATACAACGATTGAGCGTGTGCCCTGTTATAAATATCTAGGTGCTTGGATCACAGACGATACTGATCAAACGAAAGAGATTAGATGTAGAATAGAAATCGCTAGATCAGTCTTTAATAGAATGCGCAAACTCTTTTGCAATCGTGATATCAATATAAAGTTACGAATAAGAATACTGCGGTGTTATGTCTTTTCTACCCTGTTATATGGAGTTGAGGCTTGGACACTAAAACAGTTGACCATAAAAAACATCGAAGCTTTCGAGATGTGGTGCTATAGGCGCATTCTCAGAATGTCATGGTTGAACCCGTCACTAACACGCAAGTACTCCAAACTTTAGACAAAAGATGCGAAATTCTAAATGAGATAAAAACTAGAAAGATTGAATACTTGGAGCACATTGTGAGAGGTGAAAAGTACGAACTTTTAAGAAACATCATGCAGGGCAAAATTAAGGGCAAAAGAAGTGTGGGAAGAAGAAAAATATCGTGGCTTCGCAATCTACGTGAATGGTTCGGGTGTAGTTCGATTGAACTTTTCAGGCGCGCTGCTAACAAAGTCGCAGTGGCCATGATGATTTCCAATCTCCGCTAGGAGTGGCACGAGAAGAAGAATTACAAGAACTAAGCAATCCAACAAGAACATTTTACTAGGAACTGAACAAATGCAGAAAAGAATTCAAACAAAAGATGTAAAGATATAAGGAGGGTAGTTATAGTAGTAGATATAGTAGTAGAACAGCAAGACAGACTAATAAGATGGAATTCCTGAATGCGACCGAAAATTTTTTATATTGTATTGATATATTAGATGTTCGTTTGTAATACTCCATTTAACGTTTTCTATTGATTTTAATTATGTGGTCTTAGTGTGTCATACGCTAAATAAAAAATAAATTCACCGCTAGTGAAACGCTTCTTGGTCAAATTTGGGAAATTTGGGTTATTCAATCAACGGTAAAACTCATGGTAGCTAAACAATACGATGAAAAGTGATTACGTTTATGACTCATTTTATTTTTTTGCTGGAGTATAGTCGACACGTTTATATAGAATAGGTAACATTGTTTCAGGATAAAAAATATGCCGCTGTTTTCAATTTTGTTTATATTATAGAACATGTTCGTGAGAATTGTAAATTAGTTTTCACAATGCATTTGAAACATTATTTGGTTAAAAAATTTGATTTTAGTAATAGCTTAATTGTTTTGGACTAAAGGCCATATAACAGTCTCAAAGAAGCAGTGTGCAAACTAAACATGCGACTATGATATTTAACTCTTTGTACTTTGACTAATTGTAACTTTTGTCTAATTGTTTCTTTGAAATCATTTGTTCTAAAAATGGTTTCATTAGTCAAAAATCACAATTTTCTGTGTACCGCCTATGTAGAAATTTACAACACCATCATATGTTTTCCGCCATGAATAAGACGTTTCACACCGAGTTATAAATTACGTCTCTTGGTCCGCATTACCGATACATTCGTCCTCTTTTCTGCCATGTTCTCGTCGTCGTTTTGCATACACATGCGATATACACACATCTCATAGAAGACGACCTTTGCTCGGCATCATGTAGTTTTATTTTATGATGATTTAAACAGACGTATACGACCCCGCGGGGTTCCTCGCGGTAGATCGTGTTCGAAATGTGAAAATTGCGGACGGGAGCTTTAAGTACACGGTAAAAAATATTGACTGTGAGTTTTACAACCTAACTAGGTTTTACCTGGTATATTTTTTATAGCATTTTTATGTAGATATCGTGACAATAAGACAAAATTGTAAAATAAACACGTTATTATCGTTTCGACTTTAACAGATGGGAACCCTTTTTAAAATATTGTATATTTTATGGTAAGGTAAAATAAATTCAGAGAAAAAATAAACCAAAAAATAAAGGTTGTATTAAAAATTCACTATAAATACAAGGTTTTACAATATTAAAGGGACTTATATCCATCTCTTCATGTAAAAATCGGTTTATTCTGCCTAAATTATCAAATTTTATGCGAACACAGCGATCAGTAATAAAGATGACATCGAGAAATTTAATGATGATATAAATATAAGTCATCTGAAAAATAAAGACATTATTATAATAATGGGGCAGTTCAATGACAAAGTAGGAAAAGGTAAACATAAAAACATTGTAGGCAATTTCAGTCTGAGACAACGTACTGACAGAGGAGATTATTTTATAGAATTCTGTTAAGAGAAAAATTTATGTGTGACAAATACATTCTTCAAACTACCCAACCGTCGCATGGTTTATACACTTGGAACTCACCAGCAGAGTCTAAAGAGAAGATCATAAGAAATCAGATCGAGTATATAACAATTCTTGAAAGATACCGATATTCAATCAAGATAACTAAAACACTGCCTGATGCAGATGTCCCTTCAGATTATAACTTAATTAATCAGCGACATCACACTCAAACTTAAGAAAGTAAATTGCCAAAAACCGACTAACCGGATAAAAGATACGAGATAGAAAAGAAGTTCGAAAAATTGGAAGAAACATAACACCGAAGACTACTGGAATCAGATCAAAACCATCATGCAAGAAGCAATCAAAAAGTATAAAACTATTAATAAACGCAAATAGCAATGGATGTCTAATGAAATATTGAGACTAATGGAAACAGACGAGAACAAAAGCATAAAAACAGTGAAGAATACAACAAAATCAATAAAGAAATCTAAAGGAAAAATTATACAGCAGCCAATGTATTGAAATAGAAGAACTGCAGAAAACGAATGACACGTTTAATTTGTACAAAAAGTTTCAAGAAATAACTGAACCATATAGGTTAACTTCAGGTAGTTTAAGGATAAACATAGGAAATGTTGATATAGTGGCGATATAGTTAGATTGAAGAATCATGGAGGTTGGAGCTCTACACATGTAGTTGAAGAATACATTCTTCAGTCTATCACAAACAAGTCAACTATAGCAAATACCACTGCTAAACAGATAAATAGTAATGAAGCATATTCTTTATTTACAACAATAAAAATTCCACATATTTGTATTGAAACTCTTCCAAAGTTGAGGATCATTCACGGTCAGGGCATTATATTCATTGTAATATTACTCATTGTAATCTTATAAACAAATAAAGTTGTTCATTAAAGATTTAACGTTAATGAATTAGACGTAGGTAAAGCATAGTATATCACTCGCAATAATGGCTATTATTCTCTCGGAATAATATTCCCTAGCCGCTGACGCGTCTCGGTTCATAAATGTTCATCGAGAATAATAACTATCATTATAGACCTGTGTTATAATCTCATAACTTCGTAATAATAACTAATAGAGTTTTAAAATAACAAATCTGCAGGACCTGAAAATAGAATAATTTGTTCTGATTTTGCTTTTTTTATTACAGAGAAATTCAATATCACCGGCTGAAAAATATAGACCAAGGACACCTCAGGAACCAGAGCTGAAAAAACCTAAAAAGGAAGAAAAAGACCTCGGTCACGTAAGTATTAAAGTACGTAGTCTTAACCTAATTAACTCTACATTTTAATTTTGCACTAATATTTCCAATAACTCTAGTAGTATAAAATATATGGGGTATTAACAAATCCTCTAATTTAAAAATTCTGATGACGATACAACTCAATCTTTTTTCATCAAGCTGGAATCATAGTTCTAAAATATCCCAAATAAAGAAATCGCTATAATCATGGGCGATTTAAACTCAAAAAATGGTGTTTCTATGGCTGACGAACATATATGAAATTTTGTGGGCAGATATGGAATAGGTGAACGTAATTCAAGGGGAGACCGCCTTATCCACTTCTGCGTTGACAATGATTTGGCAATAATGAACTCTATGTATAAGCACTACCCTAGAAGATTGTACACTTGAATCTCACCTAATGGACACCAAAATCAGTCGATTACATAATGGTTAACGGCGCCGGCGGGCGCTGACTGCTACTCTAATCACCAACTCCTTTTCGAAACACTAAAGCAAAAAGTCAATGCATGTGCTAGGGTCCAAAACAAGAGGATATAACAAATAAAAGATACACAACAATTTAAAAGCCAATGTAATGAAAAATTGGAAAATATTTTACCAACCATCGGCCCTCATGATTCTGAAGATTTGGCTATCTTTTAAAAATACCTTGATAAATATCTTGACTCACTGTGAGGCACAGTCTAATGCAGAATTAACCGGGCCAAAAAACGTGTGGATGTCTGCAGATACTTTTGACCTCGTTGAAGAACGTATTCAGAACCCTCTTAGGAATTCGAAGTACCGATAGCTAGCTAGAGCTTTTCAGGCTGCTTAAAAGCGAAACAGGAACAAGCATATAGAGAAAGTCTGTAGTGAGATTCAACAACATGCCAATACAAATAAGACCAAAGAACTCTTCGATAAAATCAGACGACTTACACATATATTCAAGCAAGAAGGTTTATCAAAGATGATGAAGGCTATGTATATACAGATTTGGATAAGGTGTTTGGGGTTTGGAGGGTGTATTGTAAGTCTTTATACTCCGATACGGACTAGATGCCTGGCACATCCCGTACGTATCTGAATGTTAGGCCTCCACTTTCCACTCTCCTTCAACACGGACATTCCACACTAGGTTTGAATATGAACTTGACGTACTTTTTTCAGAAGTGTCATTCGCTCTGAAAAGACTTAAGTTAAACAAAATATTTTCATTACTGCTGATGTCTTGAAGCATTTTCCGATATGTGGAGTGAGAATATCACAGCGATTTTGTAATGAAATTTGGCACACCCCCGTCTGGCCTAAGGATTGTAAAAAGACCCTAATCGTACCTCTACATAAGAAAGATCCAACAAATAATTGTAACAACTATAGACTACTATCTCTCATAACATACGCCAGTAAGGTGATCCTCTATATCCTGCAACGTCATCTAGAAAACTTTATAAGTTGGCAAATAGTACTGGAGCAGGCTGAATTTATGAAGGGTAGAGGTACTAGAAAATAAATTCTTAATGTAAGAAACATCGTAAAAAAAGCCAGAGAATATTAAATCCCGATATTTTATATTTTTTGTGTTGATTATACAAAGGCATTTAATAATGTTAGATGGGACAAACTATGGAATATATTGACGATAATGACAATAACAACTTTCCATCGTTTTCGTGGTCTTTCTACTGATCGTCTTTGTATTGGGGAACCTTCTCGTGCCGTCTTTACTACACTATTTGTCGTCATTCGACTTATATGATCATTCTAGTCTACTCTTCTATTTCCTACCCAGTCCTTGACGTTCTCGAACCTGCATTGTCGTATATCTCTACTGCTAGCTCTGGCCCATAGTGTTTTACCATTAATTCTTCTAAGTGTTTTCATCTCTGTTGTTTCTAACATTATTTTTGTCTTCTCTGTGTCAGGTCGTGTTTCTGCCGCGTGTATTATTATTGGTCTGATGACTGTTTTGTAAATTCTACCTTTTATTTCTTTCCCGATATTTTTATTTCCCTATATTGTTTCATTCAGGCAGCCTGCGGCTCTGTGTGCTCTATTGACTTGATCTTCCACTTCTTCCACATCTTCTACTTCAGTTTCAATCTTTTGGTAACTAGATAATGTGATGTCTAGATATTTAAACTCCATCACTTCTTCTATTATCTGACCTTCCAGCACCAATTTACATCTTAGTAAATTTGCTGTTGTAACCATGCATTAGTGCAGCATGCTTTGTAAATCATCAGATCTTTATTTTGAGAGAATAGTTCTGCATAGTAGATTATTTTAAGTTGTTTTTCGCCCATATGGTATCCTTTTTTAATTCTTACTTTTTTTATTATTTCATCCATAATAAGGTTGAACAATAGAATACTCAGCGAATCTCCCGGTGTTATCCTATTGCCAGCTTTAATAATAGGGTCAGTTAATTCTAAGTTAAAGCACTTAAAACACTTGACTCACCTTATTAGCAAACTGTGACTATCAAGATAACCTGGAATATATTCGAATGGACAGTTACGTATCTGACGAATGCATTTTGGAGAAGGGAGTACACTAAGCATGCGTTTTATGTTTTATGTATATGTAATATTTAACATATATTCATATTTTATAATGCGCAGAGCCTTAGATAGTTTAGAGGGAGGAGTAAACCTAGGCGGTGTCAAGATATCTAACTTGCGTTTAGTTAGTGCTAACAGACGACTCAACACTAACGCGGCAGATCTCCACATTACGAAAAAGTTTCTCAACAATCAGTATACTGAATCAGTACATGAAACAGATGATCTCGACCAGTGAAGAGATATGATTAGTCAGATTATCCGAGCTGTTGAAGCTCAATGATGAACCACAACACATCTGCCAAGATGTTAATGACTAGGATGATGAAAAACACTCCCCTCAAATAATCATTTTTGTTTTAACTTTTTGAGTATGCCCTTTATACAAACAAATACCTGCGAATAGTATTTAATTTATACATTAACTATTTTGGGATTGACTTCCCTAATTACATCTATGTGCATGTTTCTAGTAAAAATAGAGAGTGAGTTCAAGTAAAAACAAAAACGCAGTGCAGAAAAGGGAATGGTGAAATAATTAGTAACATGGAGGAAATTAGGAGAAGCTGGATAATGTATTTTAGGCAACTATTAAACGAAAGGGTACAACCACTACAACAACAACGGCAACAGCTGGATTAACAAGAAGCACGGATGACCGTAACTTCATGTTCATCCGTGGTATGACCATCACTGCAAGAACTATAAAACCAGAACTGATGGAAGATGAAGAAGAAAATATTCTTTATCTTTCATCTTTCATCAAAAGAAAACTAGATCTCCAACGCTAGAGAAGGATCGAAGGGAAACCTTAATACAAAAAAAGATAGAGAGTCGAGAAAAGATAAAATACCGGCAGAACTATGATAGTAAGTAGGAAAGAAATTGACAGAAGTGATATATCAGCTAGGTACTAAAAGAAATATGGAGTGAAGAAAAATCCTCAAACAATTTAACTATACAATATTCACAAAAAAAGAGAGAAATTTTGTCAGAATTATAGAGACTCTCTACTGTGATCGAGATGCAAGATTGCATGATTTGAAAGTACTCAGAAAAATAAAAAATGATGGGAAATATATATACCGTATTCCTCTTCTTCCAATGATGGTACAGCAAAAATCGGGACTTTGCACGTAGTCTCTTTGCTTCCTATATTTTCCAATACCACCTTTTTGATATTCTATTTTTCATTCGCTGACTAGGATTCTTAACAAATACCAACAAATATCAACATATGCTAAATATCGTCCAAGGAAGACTCGCAGAACGAAGAATTATAAGCCAAAAAAATGGCGTGGCTGTAAAACTTATGAAAGTAGTTTTCTCATCAACACTCATCAAATATTTCAGTTGTATTCAAAATTCCAGCTGATATGATGATATCCAAACTTCTTCGCATGGCGCCGTCTCCTTTCACAGATTGGCGATCCAAATTGCAATTGTAGTGTTGGAAACTACTGCGCGAAAGATTTCTGCGGATGAGCGGTCGAAACATCTCCTCAGGTCTTTCAGCCACGAGTTCTGGCGTCTTCCTACTGATCTTTTGCCCTGTATTTTTCCTTTCAGTATAACTTGAAGTAATTTATATCCTTCGCCTCTCAAAACATGATCCAAGTATTGTATTTTTCTCTCTTTGATTATTCTTAGTAATTTTTTTTACACATGCGACGAAGTACCTCAACATTAGTAACTCTTTGTACCCATGGAATTCTCAACATTCGTCTGTATATATATCTCAAAAGCATCTATAATTTTTTTATAGTCCATTTTAATATCACAGTCCATTGTTCAACTTTCACAGCCATGCAGTAAGACAGAAAAAACGTAACATCTGATCATTCGGATTTTACGATAATCCCGGCTACGAAAGTAATCCTTAAGTCCTTAAGACCTTAGCCAGAAGGTTAAACGAACTTTATTTATTCGTATTCTATGCTGCAGACTAAGGTCTGATCTTGTAAAAAATGTCAGTACAAACTTAGAGACGGAAAATTCCGTTTGAATAGATCTTTGAACAATTTCTTTTGATTATTGATATATGACATAAATATTAATTGTCCAATTACTTAAGAAATCCGTAACTTAAGCAGGATTTTTTAGGGTTCCTAAAAGATCAAGTCACGCATATTAAAGCATCTTCGAAAATGGCATTGAACTTGGTATAAAAATAGTATGAGGCGGACGTAGGAGAGTGAAAACTGTATAGAGAAAAATAAAAATATTAAAACTTAAATAGCATCAAAAACATAATTGGACCGAAAACATAACTGACATTTCCGAATTTTTGTATCACGCTGCACCTATAATATTTTCTAAGCAATAACAGCAGAAACTCCAGCGATAAATTCACCATGACTGTCTTATACACGAACAAGACATGGCTGCAACATGCAACTGATTTGCGACGGTCCGATAAACTTGTGTCAGTGGGGGCCTAAGCCCTGT